ATCTTTATAATGAACAGTGTTCCCCTGATTAGATTTTTTCGGACTTTTGGTATGTTATTATTTGTATATTTCAGGAACGGATTCCGTAAAATATTTATGTTAAAATTACTTCTGTGTTCATTTTAATTTTGTCTAAAGATCGATTAGTTCGACTATAAAGCTAAGTCAGTGTAAAACTGAAAAATACTCAGATTTTGGATTGATTTTTCGAATAGTTAACCCTCGTTAACCCTAAAATGACTTAGTTTATTATAATCCTCAATCATTTATTAATTAATATCTGTTAAAATTAAAATTAGCGAATTTTGGCCAATTTATGGAAATTGAAGTTGGAAATATACTCTACTTTTAAAGGTCATGTAAATATTCCATTAAATTCGAAACTTTTTCTGGTGGAAAATATTAATATGTTTGATATTTTATGAGAGATAAATGTATCAGCTTCAAAATGGAAATGATTTCGCAGCCATAGTGATTGACAGTATGTAGTGCGTATCGAGAAAAGAAGGTGCTCTCCATTTCGCCATGTTCAATTTTTTGGTAAACTATGCCTGCTGAAAATTTGATGGCGGGGAACACATGGGACTTCAAAGGCATCACGCAAACGTCCTCCACGCGCTGCGGCAGCTTTGATCTTGGTTCATTTGCATAGCGCATAGCTTTTTCGAGTGATCTCCTTCTCAATAATACCTCCATGCACTGCTTTATGCTCAGTTTTGATTTGATTTATTTGAAATCAAAAACAAACATAACATAAACCAAGAGGCACAGTTTTATATGCTTTATATCCAGAAGCATCCCATTTTATTATTAGTCTTACAGACAATCAGCTTGATACCAACAATGGGTTTTCTAGCTAAAAATGGTTCGCTTCATACAGATTTTTTTTTTTTATTTTTCCCGAGGTAACAACAAAATTGTTGTTGGGCTACTGTAGGGGGCCCATGCCCACCTGTGATTTAGAATAAATTCACTATTAAAACTTTATATAAATTGATTTTGTCCTGATCTAAATTTAATGTGATAGACAGCAATCAATTTTAGTCGCTTGATCCTGTATTCATTTTTTTAACAACTTATTTATTTGTAGGTTCTCCAATGCAAGGAGCAGGATCAAGTGATACTGAAACAGTACCACCAGGTTAGATGTTATTTACTATTTTGTGTCTCATGAAATTATCTGTATTTAATGAGCACTATGTAAATGCTTGGATGTTTTTATTATTATTATTGTAATTATTATTATTATTATTATTATTATTATTATTACAGTATTATTTTTATTATTTTTACATTATATTTTTATTATTTTTACATTATATATATTTTTTTTTATCAAAGTTACCGTATTTTATTGTATAGCCTACTTCAATTTTCACTTCAGATGAACATCTTGGTTATCTGGAAGACAAGCACCTGCTTCGTATCGCAGTGGGCATGGGAATGGAGTGGAAACAACTGGGTGTCAGACTGGGTCTCAGTTGGAACAGGATCCAACAAATATGGAGTGATAAGAGACAATTGCCAGAGAGCATAATGGATATGCTTACAGAATGGAGGAATCATCAGAATTACGAGACAAATCAAGTGGAGATAATGTGCAGGGATTTGAAGGAGCAAGGACTCACAGAACTTGCTAACAATGTTTTTGGCTCGCAAACCTCAACAAAAGTACATGCTAGACGACCGTTACATCATAGACACCAGCAATATGATGGTAGGTAATTTATTCCTGAAATTGCAGTCCATCAGAGCAGATTGTTGATGTTCCTTTCTTTTACTTTTTTAAATAAAAAAGTAAGGATCAATAAAAAAGTAACAATAAATAAAAAAGTAAGGATGAAACACTATTGAAGCTATATTATATTTTTTTGTAAGTGTTTCACAACAGATGATACAACGATACAAAATCCTCAACA